ATAAATGAAGCAAAGAAGTTGTAAGGAATTTCAACCAAATCCCACAAATTTTGGTCCTGAAAGAGTTATTGAATTATTGGGGCACCCCTCTGATTTCCAGAAGGGCTTCCTGGCTAGTTTGCAGAATTTGGGGCCAACACCTCTGGCAACCTTTGTGACTCCCTAGCCTCAATTACTAAAAAATAAGGTTGTCCTTTCTCTTCCCTCCACACCTCTTATCACCCTTATCTTGGAGTTTCTGAAGACATTCATCTTCCAGGAGAGAACAAAAATGCAGGGTGGATAATATCTGGGCAATCAGGCATCTTGCTTTGTGCCTGTGGTCCTGAAATAAATATTAATAGCTATTCATTTCACTTTCATGGGCATCCCTGTCTTAGATGATAAATTATAGTCATCCTACATGGTAGCTTTGCATGCTGTCAAATCACTAAGCTGGAACTACATGTCCCAGAATTCCTTTACAAGTACTTTCCAGGTAAGTAGGGCTCAGGAAAAAATTGTATGAGTTTTGGGAAGTAAAAAGGAAGTGCTAAGCCATTGTTTATTCTCTGAAGGTTGATGTAGGGCAGGTGCTGTTGCAGCTCAAGCACATTATCTCCCATATGCTGGCTGATCCTGACATGTGGCAATAGTCCTCAGTGTGTCTGCCAGTTGTTACTGGACCGCCTCCTTTGGCATCTCCAAATCCTGGCCAGGTGTTTGTGCAGATTCCTTGGTGAAGGCACCAATTTATCCTGCAGCTCACCCCCATCATCATGATTTGAGGTGACATGAGTCAAAAACAAGGGTTCTATTTTGTCCTTGTCAGTTCCAGTTTGTTCATAGCTGCCCCTATTCTATTTCTATTTTTGCCCTTCCCAATGACGGGGTTCAGCACACCATATCCTAAAATTTGGCACCTTGGCATACTGAATTTATTCAACTGAAGGAATTTGAGGAATGGAAGATATTAGAAGGACTTTCTGATCTTCCCCTAAAGCAAATCATAAACCTGCTTTATGGAAAGGAGCATCCTTACTTCCCAAAACTAGAGGAATCAAATGAACAGGCCTTGGTATTTGCCCCAATTCACAACACGTAGCTCGTAACTCTTTTGTCCTATCACATTTTCCCACCACTTTTCACTCTTCATCAAACTTAGGATATAAATGTTTAGGTTCAACTGCTTCTTAAGTCCTTCCTTTCCATATGAAGGCCCCAGCATCACATAAAACATATGTCAAATAAATTGGAATGCATTTTCTCTTTTATTATCGGGACCCCAGCCCAAAATTTAGAAGGATAGAAGAAAAAGATATTCTTCCTTCCTACACCAATTTGCTCCTTGCTGACTTCTGACCCAGCTCGGACACATTGCAAAGGCCTTCAAAAGTCATATAACAAGTCCCTTACTCTGTATTACACATAGTGATTCTATTTAGAGCAAACTCTGACAAATATATCACATATTTGTGGCCTCATGAGTCATCTTACCACATCACCTCTCTGTTTGAACCTATCATAATTACATTCCCAAATTACTGACCCACAGAATCATTCATTCTTGATGAAGTAGCTGCCATATTGTGAGGACACATGAGCATTAATGGGCAGCCATGGGGGGCATCTTGCCAATGGCTGTAAAACCCCAGAAATCAAATATCTTCACTGAAACCTCAAGGCATACCCTAAGCTAGAACCACCTTGCTAAGCCATTCCCAAATCCATAACCCACAGAAAAAATGTAAAATAAATAGCAGTTATTGTTTTATTCCACTTACTTTTGAGGTAATTTATCATGTCACTATAGATAACATTACAAAACATAACCAACAGCATTTCATCTTATAAGCATTTTATTATTTTTACAATCTAATTTCATTAAACTTACTAATTTTTAAAGTTGTTCAAAACTGTCTGGCTGAAATGAAGTTTTTATGGCATATTGTTTCTTATAATATAAAAAGTTGTTTCAAAATCCAAATGTCAAATATCATTCATTCCTTTAAGCAACTGTAGCAGACCACCTACTATGTGACAGGCGCTCATATACAGAGATATATACCCATCTCTTCCTTGGGTACGTTTCTGTGAGACAGGTAAGTGAATAGATCCCTATAATACAATGTGTTAACTGATTTAAAACAAGTGCCCATAAGGTATGAAGAAATGAAAGCATGGTACGGAGGATTCTTCTTAGGATGTCTGAGAATTTTTTACACAAAAAAGGTTGAATAGAATTTTTCTAGATAGAAGATTGAAGAATGAGTCTTTACTAGTGATATTCATATTTATACAGTGTTTGTGATAAACTAAGTTTTGTTCTAAGTATTTTAAATATATTCACTTATATGCTTTTCTTAATCTTTTTACACAGGTACCATTATAATCCCTGCTTTATAGGTGATGAAACTGAGACAGAGCAAGGCTGAGAGACTTTTCCAATATCCCACAGCTAGAAAAGTGGTAAGGTCTGGATTTAATACCAGGGAAATCCAACACCAGGGTTCACATTCTTAACTATTTTAATACACTTTCGGCTGTCTCAGCAGGCCTGGGAGAGAGGAACAGTATAAACAGAGATACTAAGCACTGAGAGAACATTTTTCTAGAAAAAGTAGTGTTATGATTGGAAAATAAGATGCATGAGCTGAAGTACAGAAAGAAAATAAAGAACTAAGCCAAAGACTTAGTCAATATCATGGCAAGGAACTTGCATGTAGGCAATAGGAAATAGTTGATGAAACTTCTGTGTTATGCAGATACCTTTGGAGCAATGTTAAAAGGGAGAGATTGGATGAGGGAGACAAGAAGAAACTGCATTAACACCCCGAAAAGAGAACTGAGGTCTGAAGTGTAGAAAAGGAGAAGGAAAAAAATGAGCATGGAGGAGCTGCCATGGAGCATGCTGACTAATCGGATGCCATGCACATTTAAGAGATGACGTGCAGGTTTCTTTTTACAAGGAATGGATAGTGGGTTAGGTCATTAATAAATATAGAAAGCTGGGGAGGTGGGGAGACCTCAGATAGGAGATGTGCTTAACAAACACTTCTTAAAAGAAGAAATGAAGTCGTAGTAATACAGAGGTAGTTTTTTCTCTATCACATGAAATGCCAATCACATAGGCATTATCCATAGCACCTAATTGCAGTGGTCCAAGGGACTTCTACTGTGAATTAAAGTGTGTTTTTTCAATTAAGTAATGTAACCTGAAAGACTAATAAGTAGCTGCTAATTCTATGTAATTAAGAACAAATTGCATTCAACAGAAATTTCTGTAATAACACTTTTAAATTATTAACTTTACAAATATTAGATTCACACGCAGTTCTTACGTGTATTGTAAGCATTAAAGAACTATATTTTATTATCATATTTGGTTCTAAAATTTAAGTGAATGAAAGCTTAAGAAAGGAAAGAAAAGATGAAATGTTACAGTCAATATAGGCTCAAGGGAAGTAAAATCTTCTAGAGTAATGTAATTAATTGTTTTTCTTTTAAAATTCTAGGCCAGAATTTTATATTATGGGCAGTTTCAGTGTGTATTCTTTCAAGAGTTTACATTCCACAATATAACAAAATTACAGTCCACTTAGAGCAGGGGTTCATGGCTCTGGGTGAATAGCCTTTTTGCTCAGGTTGACCCCAGAAACATATCTCTAGCTGTTAGCTGGTGCTCGCTTTAGCCCAACTACCAATATTGCAGGTGGGCAGGGTCATCTTAGTCACACCTCCACACCAATAAACCCAAATGACAGAATTTTACAACTTTGCAAATGTATATTTGTATTTCTTTTAACAGCCATTTTCTGGCACATATAGTAAATTCTTAATAAGTAATTTTTTAATGCATAAAAGACTATAATGAAAAATAGAGGGTCTTTGAAGATATAGAATGCAACTTACAGAGATTATAGCTTCTGAGTCCTACTGATTCATCTACTACTGAGGAAGGGAAAATGGGGATGAGGATGGACAGTACAAATATGAAGTACTCTAATAGATTAATAAAATGTTTTTCCTTGTGGTAAAAAGTGATAAGCAAAAACTCATTCACTTATTTATTCATTATTTATCGAATGCCTGAGTCATTCCTTCATCAAGGAATGCACTGTCAATATAGTGTATCAACGAGAAAATAAATAAATATAATTTAAAAAATATAAAAAGACTTTTAACAAAGAGATGAATGATATACTCAGAGATTGAATTATCAAAATGAAAATTTATCTTTACTTGTGTTTTTTCTATTTTACTGCAAAACACATGGACATTCAGGATATAATATCTCATTATAAGCCATTCTGGGAAAACCCTTTTAACACTTTATTTTTAAGAACTCAAAATAGGATGGCAGGAGCCAAGAGTATGTCTGAAAAGGAAGCTTGAAGCCCCATGGTGGAAGGGGGGCTTAAAAATATTTTAAACTCTTTTCCATTTCTCCAAAAGCTTTTCATTTTTGCCCAGCTGTTGTTCAGTGGTCAACCCATGAGCTAAGAGGTTTGTGGTTTGATTCCTGGTCAGTGTATATGCCCAGGTTGTGGGCTCTATCCTCAGTGAGGGGGGTAGTGCAGGAGGCACCAATTGATATTTCTTTTCCATAGGTGTTACTATCTCTCTATTCCTCTCCCTTCTTCTCTCTCTAAAATCAACAAAAGCTCTTCATTTTGTTTTATATTACCTACTGTAAAATCCACTAGCTATCTTTTATTAATGGTTGATAAAGTTCTAGTTCCAAACTAAGCACACCCAACCTTTTTAATCATTATATTCACAAGATTGTAATATTCAGCCTTGGTTCAGCTCTACAAATAAGAAAATTTATTTAATTTGAAATCAATGAGTATACCAAAGGAAAATAGAAGGAAAAAATAAATAAATTATACTTTGGTGACCTAAAAGCACATTTGTGGGGCGCTTTATTTATCACATTAAGATGGGGTGAAGAGAAACAAAGCCAGAACTGATGAGGATATTGTTTCCATTCGTTAAAAAGCAAAATTTCATGATCTTACCTGAAAAGTTTTTGTAATCCACTAAGTCAAACATCACAACGGCCACAGCTGACCAGGTGACGATCAGAGCAATGACCAGCAGCCAGGCTGCCGGGGAGCTGAAGGTGGTCACTATGTCTTCCGTGACTGTCCTCTTCAGTACTTTTCCAGGGGACTTGGGCACGGATCCATTCTTGTTGTCGATGACAGTTGTAGTGGTGGATGCATTTCCTAAGCAAGCACGCAGAAAGGAGAATTACAATTTAAAAATTCACATCAAATGTTAATAACCAAAAACAACAACATAGGCTACTCAATTACAGTATATGTAAGAGGTTTATACCATTTTCTCTAGCAGAACACACCTCTTTAGTGGCAGGACCATACCTCGCTGCCCACTGCCACATCACTTCTTCCTCGGCATTCACCTTCCTGCCTGAAACCCATATGCCCTTAGAATCAGCATGCCTTCAGCTGATTCCCAAGTTCCATAAATCCTGCCACAAGGTCACAGACCTTACCATCACCTTGAATTCATTTTTGCTTTTTCCGTATCACCTCCCAAACCACTACATTGTGAGCAATGGGCTTTTTTAAGTCAAGCTGCTTTTTAAAACCCCTTTTCTTTATTTAGGCTCCTATGCCTTTTCTGAATCCAAGCAAAAGCATCTCCTCTGGGAGAGAAACAAAACCAGTAATAAAATAGCTTAAATGGATGAAATTCCTTCTAGATATCCTGGTTTAACTGCCTACCTGACCCTTTTATTGAGGCCATTCATTTTTATTTGCAAGGGGGCACAGGAAATCTAAGAGAACAATGTGGGAAAATCTTAAATATGGTAACCTTTTTATTCCTGCTTTCAAGAGTCTATATGTTTGTGAGAAAAAATTTAAAAAATATAAAAAATAGATAAGTAGGTAAATAAGTAGGCAATCCTTTATAATCTCCCCACCCAGGAACAAGCAATACAACTATCCTATCTAATAAAAAAGCAATATGCAAATTAACCATCAGTCCATAGCCATAAGTTGATGGCGCCCCGTCTTCTCAGCCCCACCAGAGTCCCCTAGTCCTGGGGGTTGGGGAGCAGTGGCCACTGAGAGCAGGCAGCATTCCACCTCTGGCTGTGGATGGGCCTCTGGGCAGCAGGTGCAGAGTCGCCAGGCCCCCAGAGAGCTACTGGCACACGGATTCATGTACAGGAATACTAGTTTTTAGATAAAATGATAAATCTAAGTCCATGTTTTTAAAATATTAAAAGGCTGATGTGGAACATCAGTATTAAAATTATTTAAGATTTTATAATGACTTTAGGTGAAAATTTGCAACCGTGACAATGAAACTCCTTTCTTTCCTGAAAAACTATGTGAACATAATATCCCAAGTTCATGAACTCAATTTGGTTGAAGTGACAGCAGGATGGAAAAATACATTTGAAAACAGATTTCACAGACTACACTGGAGATGGTGCTCCAAGAAGGAAAAATTAGAAAGAACTCATATCATATCCTCTCATTGATTTTTGTGCCAAATTCCCATCACTTCTAATGGCAGTTCTGAAAATGGATGAATGATAGGAGTGCTTTGAAATGTGATTTAAGACCCAAGTGGGGCTGCAAGTGAATCAAACCTTTGTGATAGTGATTTGCAAGAGAATAAGTGAATTATAAGTATTTAAGAGAGGCCCACCTGAAAGTTGATATGTTGCTAACTATTCTCCAGTTTTTTAACTTCTGGGAGGCCTCCTACTACCTCTGTATGGAGAACACTGGGAGAACTTATTTTGCACTTCAGGTTCATTTCAGTGCACTGTGTATTTGAACGTCTTTCTGCACACAATATGATAACTGCTTGGTATCTTGAAACTGAAAGAATAAATTTTACAGAGATTTGATAGAAATGAGCTGAATCCTTGTTACATTTTTAAAAATCAGAAAAAATTTACATATATATTTATACATATGTATATGAATTTCAAATTTTAATTTACCTTATAATCCTGCCAAAACAACTGTTACAATATTTTGAATAAATGAAAATAATATGGTAAATTATTTTTTATTTTTTATATCTTCTTGTCTTCACATCCTCATAATTTCTACTTAGGAATGAATGAATGCTCAAAGGTGACAAAAGTATATTTTGAGTATCAAATGCAACACCGCAAGCACTGTGAAAGTTGTCTTGCTTAAAGGAAATACGTGTTGCCTTTGTTATGAAAACACACGAAGTTGTGCTTTTCATGCTCCATTCAAATTTACTACAGAAGCCCAGAGCCAAGAGGAATAAAATCGAGGAGACATAAACTGTCTTCTCTGACAGCTGGTCAAGATAAATGCAAAGAACAGTGTGCAATCTGAGATAACTTAATGTTTGAGAAGCCCTTTGAAGATGACAAGAGCTAGTTATAGATTTGGTGGGAAATACACGGGAGGTAAATACTACTGAGCAATTTGACATGGACCTCGCTTCTTGAAAGTTGGTGTCTCCGAACAGGAGTAGAGCAGCTTGGCTATGTAACAGTACTTTCCATCCTTGTTTTTAATCCCATTGATTTGCATTTTATACAAATAATTTTGATTGCCAGGAAGCCAGAATCAGCTTCAAAAGAAGTGGGGATCTGACTGCAAGGCCTGGTGACTCCATCCATAAAGGAAAGTGGACAGCTCGTGCAGTGGTTCCAAAGACCAGCTTCACAGTCACCTTATGCCTGGAAGAATAAATCATATGCCTCCTGGAAGAAGCCACTTAACCTCATCATGCCTTGTTAATCAGAGGAGGAAACACCAAGTGCACTTGCCCATTATTATTCCTATGGGATACTGGCAATACAATATCTTCCAGGATGTTCAAGGAGAACACTTATGTTCTGGAATGGTATAAATAAAGTACTCTATCCTCATTGCATAAAAGCATTAATTCTGAAGTGTGTATTTCATTAGGTGATGTGGTTTCTGGAATACTTAACCAGTATATTTTTTTCTCCAACAATTAAGAGAACAAAGGAGAGATTATAAAATTATATTGTACTTCAAAATTGTGTTAAGAATCTAATTCCAAATTATAAGTGAGAATAATATTTGATATCTTTTTAAAGTATGCCAAAAATGTGTGTGTAAAATAAAAATGTTGGAGAAATTATTTCCAAGATCTTTTGGCAAATGTAGTTGAAAAGTAAAAAAAAAAAATCTATCTTTTAACTTATGTATTTTATCATCCTAGTTCTTGCAGAATGTGTAAATATCATGTACATATATCTGTTACAATTAAATTGTTTTTTTCTACAAGTGTATATAAACTGAATTAAAACAGATTTTGAGGAGCAAGGAATACCATAGTAATTTATAAAAATAAATAATCCTACATATTCTATAGATAGATGATAGATAGATAGATAGATAGATAGATAGATAGATAGAATGTGAAAATAACCTAGAATAATTTTTAGAAAAATACTGATTTGAGGCACATAAAAGCAAAACAAAACAACCAAAACACTACTCACTTTCAAGGTAAAAAGTACTTTGTCTCAAGCAGAAACTGGTCTCTTGCCAATTTTAATAAAAGCTTTAAATTGTCATCTTTTCTTTCCGATTCTGTGGTATGTGATCATTATAATATTTCATAGAATGATTTGGACACCTACCCCACCTGCTGAGGTGAAGAGTTATACAGTGATTTTGTGCACTAAAGGCCCAGTGCATAAATTCATAAATGGGTGGGGTCCGGCCGGCCTGCCCCAATTGGGGTCTATTGAGCCAGCAGGGGGGGAGGGGGAGGAACTGTGGTCAGTTGGCCATTTGGCCCTGCCCCCAATCACGGTGTTGGGGCCAATCAGGAGCTTGGCTAGCTAGGGGGTGGGGGTAGATAGGTAAGGGGGAGTGGGGGAAGTGATCAGGGCTCAGATCAGGCCAGTTGGCTGCTACAGTGCATGTCATAGCCACCAGTCATTCTGGTCATTCCACCATTCTGGTCACTGGGCTTTTAAATATATAGATTATTTAGCACTCCTTTCTCTGTCTACCCATTCCCTGCACTCTTCCAGTATGTGTTTTATTTTGTTTTCTAGTGGTGAGACTAGAAAATGAAAATACTGCCCTAACCCCCAGCCACAGGAATGAGTGTTTATACCAAATCACTCACATCACTCCCTCTTGTCTATGACAGTGAAGTGCAGGGAAATCCGAGACCACCACATTTTTTGCGGAAGTATTGGAGGACACTCTTTCTACAAGGTTGCTAAGCTGGTGGGGTCCTCCAGGGCCCCTCTAGCCCACCAGCTGGATAGTGTGCTGCAGCACAGAAAGCGGCAGGGTCCAGATACCGCTGGATAGGTCCATGGAACCAGCTGTGTTTAGTCAAGTTTATTTCTGGACTTTCCAATTATATGAGAGTACATCAACTGCTCTGATTTGGCTGTACTTGCATTACCAGCCATCAAAAGTTCTGAGTGACCCTCTTGCTCTTGCACAGAAGGAAAATAATTATTTTACTTCATCTGTTGTATCATAAGAAGTAATCAGCCAGAATGATTAAAATATACAGCTTCTTTTGAAAATTATTTTCATTTTAGAAGGAAAATATCAAATCTCACTCTTGTTTCTTTAGTGGCTGCATTGACATGGTTCTACATGAAAGCTTGTTTGGGGTATGCAAGGTGAGTTGCCGACATTGAGGTCCTGTTACAAAGAAGAACTTGCTCTTGCTGGGGTGAATGAGAGGCAGGGTCTCCCTCCCTGGGCAGTGGTCCCTCTGACTGCTAGCTCACTCTCCAATAGTCCTCACTGCAAAGCAATGGATGTCCTTTCTTGTATTCATGCCTGTAAGCCCAGTTTCCCAGACATTTTGAACTCATTTTCCACTAAGTAGCTATTCCCCATTCAGATACCAGTTTTCCAACAAATAGCAAATGCATTTAAGGCTCAAAAGCAATCATGAGTGCATAATCGAGGACAGTAGAATTAATTTTTGAAAGAAAATGTATTGAATTTCTAATGTATTACAAGTAAGATGTATTGCTTTACCAATCTAAACTGGGCACGTATTTCTGAAGATTTTTTCCCCCTCTATTAAAAAGATAGTTTTATTAAAACTCCATTGTTACAAGCCAATTCCTCTTTCAAAAATCACCTCAAATGCCAACTTCATAATGCTATTTACTTGATATTTTAATTTTTATTTTGATAATTCTTTATTGTTTAAAGTATTACATATGTCCTCTTTTTTCCCC